TATTTAGTGCCATCCATCATTCCTTCAATTCTGACCAGTTTCCCAGTCCCTGCCGATGAAAAACATCCCCACAGCATGATGCTGCCACCACCATGCTTCCCTGTGGGGATGGTGTTCTCGGGGTGATGAGAGGTGTTGGGTTTGTGCCAGACATAGCGTTTTCCTTGATGGCCAAAAAGCTCAATTGTAGTCTCATCTGACCAGAGTACCTTCTTCCATATGTTTGGGGAGTCTCCCACATGCCTTTTGTCACACACAAAACGTGTTTGCTAATTTTTTTCTTTAAGCAATGGCTTTTTTCTGGCCACTGTTCTGTAAAGCCCAGCTCTGTGGAGTGTACGGCTTAAAGTGGTCATATGGACAGATACTCCAATCTCTGCTGTGGAGCTTGCAGCTCCTTCAGGGTTATCTTTGGTCTCTTTGTTGCCTCTCTGATTAATGCCCTCCTTGCCTGGTCCGTGAGTTTTGGTGGGCTACCCTCTCTTGGCAGGTTTGTTGTGGTGCCATATTCTTTCAATTTTTTAAATAATGGATTTAATGGTGTTCCGTGTGATGTTCAAAGTTTCTGATATTTTTTTATAACCCAACCCTGATCTGTACTTCTCCACAACTTTGTCCCTGACCTGTTTGGAGAGCTCCTTGGTCTTCATGGTGCCGCTTGCTTGGTGGTGCCCCTTGCTTAGTGGTGTTGCAGACTCTGGGGCCTTTCAGAACAGGTGTATATATACTGAGATCATGTGAAAGATCATGTGACACTTAGATTGCACACAGGTGGACTTTATTAACTAATTATGTGACTTCTGAAGGTAATTGGTTGCACCAGATCTTATTTAGGGGCTTCATAGCAAAGGGGGTGAATACATATGCACGCACCACTTTTCCGTTATTAATTTTGTAGAACTATTTTTAACAAGTAATTATTTTCATTTCACTTCACCAATTTGGACTATTTTGTGTATGTCCATTACATAAAATCCAAATAAATATCCATTGAAATTACAGGTTGTAATGCAACAAAATAGGAAAAACGCCAAGGGGGAGGAATACTTTTGCAAGGCACTGTATACAGTAGAGTACCACAGTATGAGTCATAATACCCATAAAACCTTGCGGTAAAACAAGGAAATGGTTCCAATTGTTTTTCCATCAATCATTTTTCCCATAAGGGATTTTAGAAACACTTAAAATAAGGTCTGTGTTTCATGTAGGCTTACCCTGGCGTGACGTTTCGATAACCATGTAAATCTCTCTAGGACAATGTGACTTATCAATATATTTGCCTGTATTTACCCTCCCACCCCCAACACAAATTAAATCCTAATTAGCTGCTAATGTAACTATCATAAAGAACTACAAATGCCATTATCTGGACGAGACAGCCGTATTGAGGCAAAGGTAAGAATCTCTGGATTAACTATCTAATGTTAGCTAAATTTTGTCAGCTACATTTCTTTAAATTGACAATTCTGTGAACTGTCTGGTGAAAAGTTTTAAATTGACACAATACCTGTTAGCAAAGATGTCAGCTAGATATGACGTGCAGGAGCTGACTGGGATTTGTAGTCTTGCATGATGTCTACTTTGATGCTAATTAGCATTTTTGAATCTGAGAGTAAATAGAGCCAAATATATTGATAAGTCACCTTGTCCAAAAGAGATTTACATGGTTATCAAAACGTCACATCAGGGTAAGCCTACATGAAACACAGCCCTTATTTCAAGGGTTTCTAAAATCCCCTATGGGAAAAATTAATGGTGGAAAAACTATCGGAACCATTTCCCTGTTTAACCGCTAGCGCAGCTCCCCTCTGACTGCTGTGCAGAATAAATATCAAGCCGCACAGAGAAGCAGGAGATTGAACTTCACTCAACTTTCTAGAATTTTCCCCTTTAGTTAACACTATCAACATTTCACTCTACTGGGGGAATTGTGCTCGAATCAATGCAATATTAGTTATTTTCAATGTAACATACCGAAACAAAAGGAACTATGCAAGACTTTAGTAAGCAAAACTAACTGTGCAAGAGATGTTCTTGTAGGCAGAGCACATTGGAGTAGGATTCTATTGCATTGACAGGCACGACACAGGCCCGTACTCTACACAGACCGGGGTGCTATAACCAATCAAACTGCAGTAGGCCTATATGCAAATAGCCATATACGGATCTGTGCCATTCACTTTGAACTGGACTTTGTTTACAGCATGAGTGGTCATGAGTAGATGCGCTTGTTTTGAGATCAAAGCGAGAGCTGCATGTAGGCACCTGTGCACATTTGTTTATATTCTTTGCTAGTTAGTGAGTTATTATCACAGTTATAGCTCATTTCTAGCCAACAATGGGGGAGTGGTTGCTTCCTACAAGATCAAAAAATTTGTGCATTTCTGGCCATCTTTGAAAAGCGAGTCAGGTAATGAGCTTTTTTTATGTCTTAAAGGGGCAATGTTGTATTTTGAGACAGTCTTGAATAAGCTAAGCAGACAATAGGCAGAGGGTAGCATAATTTGTCAGATTCTCTGTAATAATGGTATGGGAATAATAATGAATTTGATTTTGTAAAGTGGTTTCTTGCATCAAACAACACAAAATGTTCAGTCACCTTGTCTGAAGGACAAGTGGATAAACAAGTTAATGTCAAGCGCTGCATGTTTTTTTTCAAAAGTCTATAGGCCTACATTGAACATCACACGTGCTGCTACTGTAGGCTGAATGATAGAACAGCTATTTACATGTTAAAATGTTATGGGATGCATTTTTGTCCGTTGTTTTTGACGGTAGGCCACTCTGGTAGGCCTACATTATGATCAAATAGCCACAGTAGCCTACTTGGCCACTTAAAACTGTAACTTAGGGCAAGTACAGCCTCAGTGTTCACAGCAAACACACGCCAGAAGTTGCACAGAATTTTCACAACGTTCAAGTTCACACTCAGCAGACCTGAAATTTCCTCAGTGCCAAAAAATTGTTTTGGGAACATTGCTAAAAGGTATTGTGTCAATTCAAACTTGGAATTCCAACTCCGGCCTCTTTCTAGAGCTCTGACTTTCCCACCTGAAGATCACCGACGTCATGATTTGACCTCATATTTTTCAGAAAAATCATGATGTCAGTGTCCTTCAGGTCGGAAAGTCGGAGCTCTATAAAGATGCCAGAGTTTCCGACTTGGAATTCCGAGTTGGATGACCGTTGAAACGATTTTTCCCAGTCAGAGCTAGTTTCCAGTTGTCTCGACTCTTGAACGCACTGAAGTCTGAGATTTCCCAGTTGTTTTAAAAGTGGTATGTGTCAAGAAACCTGCCTATTTTCCTCAAAAGTACGTAATGTCACGATTCCAAAGCTATACCATATTTCAGAGAACAAGTTAATTATCTCACAGCTCTTGTTGTTGTTGTTGTACTTCTTGTTGACGAAATTCATGCTAATGTTTTTGTTGTTGTTCACGCCCAATTGACTCCCATTCCCTCCTTGAAGTAGAGGTCTCTATTTGTCCCGCAATCACCCAGAATGCACCGCGTGGCCCATTGCCATCGCATGGGCAACGTACACAATGGGTGTTAATACGAGTTTCCCAAACTGCGGTATAATAAGGTTTCCCATCTCCTCAAAAGTATCTCTCGGGATACTAGCCTCGTACGAACCATTCTGTTTCACTACAGAATAAAAGTTTAAATGAATAAAGGGGATATGAACTTTAGCTTACGTAATTTAAGTGTAGCCACTAGCCAGAGATGCTTTATAATGTGTCGCTAGTTAGCTACGTTTTAACAGCTATCAAATGAACTAGCTAGCTAATTACTTAATAACTAGGTACAACCAAACAAAGCCATGTAAATGTAGATAAACACATGCCATGGCTCTGAATGAGTACAACAAGTGAGCTAGCTGAACAACATTCAGCAGGGGTTTAGGTAAGTCGCAAGCTCGAAAAATGACTATATTCTTGAAAACATTCAGTTGGCTAACTACTACAGTTATGTCAGTATTTTTTAACTTAAATTACCTTATACATTACTTGATTTTGATAGCTAGCCGAGCAGACAGGTCAATTGTTTGCCATGTTTATGCCTTCACAAACATGCTGATGCTACCTAGCTATGTTAGCTGGCAGGCCCAATATCATTCGATTAGGATTATACAACCGACAGGTCATCTGATGCTTTATCACCTGAAAGGACTGGTCGAGGCCCGTAAAATAAAACTGATAAATAAAATGGTAAATATTTGGTTAGTTGAGTAGCTAGGTACAGAAACGAACTAGCTAGCTACAGCAACAGTTTGTAAACATCGCAAAACTTCCGGGATCGCTTGCGAAGCAGGCCAGGGGTTTGAGAAGTCAAAGAGAGAAGGAACCCATTTTTTAAAGGCACAACCTAGATTCGCGCCAATGTCTTAAGTAGTTGAACATGTTATTACTCCAACCTCGTGAGTGACAAATTGACACTTTCATTTCGTCAAAAACAACTTTATATCGAAGGAGTGCCTTTGTTTTAACGGCCTGCACGTGTTCAGTTTGGCACGAGACACCCGTTAGACCCAATGACGTTTATGCACATGCATTTAGCTAGCCAACGTCACCTACAAGCGTAATCTGGGATTTCTATTGGAGAAGCAGTTTATGCCTATCTTCATACTGTACTGTCTTTGCTAAAGCTTCTTCGACATATTTCACGTGACTACCCGCGGGGAGGGGCCACTTCACGTGACCCAAGAATAGCTGCGGTAAAGAGGTCAATGGAATTCAACCCAAACAATGGAAATGCGTGGGTGAAAGATGCCATGGGGGAAAAGTGGGTGTGTTCCAGACGGTTCCAGAGTATAAAATATAAGGGATGGTTTTTGTAATGTGGCAAATGACATCAGACTTTGTATGCAATGTTGACATGTCAGACATGCATTCAATATTTTCATCTTTAACCCCTATTATTTTCAACATTGGTTGCACACACACATAGGGTGAGACACATGGAAATTAGGCTAAAAAAGATAAATGGTACAAGAGGTTAAAAGTGTTATAAAATTGTATTATTATCTAATAACCTAATCAGTGTGGACAAAAAAAATTACACCCCAAGACTCAGAATTATCAATCAAATGTAAGAATCAACCAAACTCTCCATAAAACAATGCTGGTTTGATACATACACATGTGAATAAAATATTGTATGAGAAAATGTCTAAAAGGAGGGACACCAGAAAGAAACTAATATAACATTGCAGTTGCATCTTAAGAGGTCTGCCAAACTACAACACAAGAAGAAATGGACATACAAAAAGCATCAGTTGCAGATGCAACCATCCCAGTTATAATATATATTATTTCAAATATGGCATTCATTTTCCATTACCAAATAGTCTTTATTTTAGTGTTTGTAGGTGGGTGGCTTATATTCCTGTAACTTGATACTCTCTATTTACAATGGTAAATTAAGAACACCAATAAGGACCCAAGGGCAAGCCTCTCAAACAGGATACAGTAGGATCTTCAAAGAGAAAAACTAAAGGAGTGAGACAAAGACATTATGAAAAGAACAGAGCAGGTCTTGGATTCTTATCCAGTTCAGGCCATGTAACCTGAAGCTCTGCACTTGAGGTCTCAGACGGAGTTCTTCCTTTACATTTGGTCTCGGAGTTTGGCAAGCCTTGAAGACAGTTCATCCTGAGAAGAAAAGATAACAGGCATTAAATGTTGCAGATGCAGTAAGTAAGTAATCTCTAAAAACTAAACCTTTTCAATCGTGTGTGAGAAGGGGCAGGGGGTGGGCCTAAGGACATTTTTATGCAAGCCTGAGACACAGCTACTATAATCATATCAGCATTGTTATCATTGCTCTATTATCCCAATCATTTACTTTAAAGATCCTGTTTAGTAGACAATTGAAAGTGTGGTAGGGTATATAATAGCTCTTGTTCGGGGCCTGTTCCTGTACCTGCTCTGCTGACGCAACACTGGTGCCCACTGATCCAGTCTGACCCTGTGGGAGCTCCATGTTCAGGTCCAACCTAAACACAAAGAAACCGACATACAAATTGATATGCATTAATTTTCACTCTTTTACAGACAACATTTTTTCAAGAATAGAGAATGACAAAATGAGGAATTCTTACCCTGCTTCATCAGCCAATTCGTGCATCAGTGAATCCACTTGATTCTGAAACACACGTCGCTGACTGTTAATCTCCATTGATTGTGAACACAGCAGAATAAATGAATCACAATAAATGTATCTCGTCATGATCTGCACTTGTATGTATTTACTGTTACATACTTGAAGAGACCAGAGGTCTGTCTAGCAGGAACCCAGAAAAGCATGATTACCTGTGGGGTGGTTAGTGTGGTTGTGCTACTCATGGTGTCCTCCATTTGAGCGGTCTGTACATCCAACGTCTCAAATTGATGCTCAAACTTGTCCATAAGGCCGGAGATCTAGAGAGATGAGACATTCATTACCAAATTTGCCTCTCAGATGGTAAAGAACATAACATATATATACCGTCATAAGAGGGACAACTATCAAATTGCTGTATTTGACTAGGAGCATGCACACACACGTTACCTTCTCCAGGTTCATACTCTTCAATGTGGCATCCATGCCTTTCACCACTCCAGCCATAGATTTTGTGACCTGTAGAATGAACCAATATTACTAAAATAGAAAGGTACCTTGCTGTGTGGTTGGACACAGCAATTGTTGCCATAGTAACCTAGCACTCTTTTACAGATATTGCACCAAATTTTCCCTCCAAAGTAAAAGTGGGCCCGTCTTAAGCAGAATCAGTGTCTCAAACCAAGAATGTCGTTGCGTGAAGTCTCGTAGGGCGTAGGTATGTAAAACAACTGCACCTTGTTCATTGTGACTGCTGTTTGGACCCTGGCGGCCACTGCATCAATCCTAGCACTCATCCTAAGGAAGTTGACCGACTGGTTCTTCTGTCTGATGGCGTTTTCCGCATGGATCCGTGCCACTTCCACATTTCCTTTTTGGATAGCCTACGATGAGGATAAAGGTTCAGTATCACTACATTCTCTGTTGATACGTTCATAGTTATGGTGAGGTGATTGGAGGATTGCCTAATGAGGTAAAAGGCCTACTTACTTTTTTGACTTTGGCCTTCTCTGCCTTTTCCTCTTTGTCACATTTTTTAGAGCTTCGTTGCAGTTCTTTGGCTGCAAACTTGAGATTGAAGAGATGCTCTGGGATGGGAAGTTAAAGGGCCAATCAGCAGTTCAAAGATAACAAAGCATTGTCTCCGCCACTGTTTCGGTAAAAAGCTGAGGGATGGGGCTGGAGAAATGTAACCACACTAAAATGTATAGACATAGCTTTGGATGCTAGGACTGACCATCCATATCAAAACCATAGTTTTAATCATGTTTTGAGGCTTTACAGTGTTTGTTTACATTTAATTTGTTTACAATCATTGGAGTAAAACAAGGGTATATTTTGGGTTCTGATGGGGTACAAAAGTTGAACTAAGCTCATGAGGCATTTATAAGTTATATTCTTCAAGAATCAATGGGTACATATCATTAATTTATAAGTCCACAAATGGATGTAGCAACTGCTGATTGCCCATTTAAAGACCGTTTTTAAAATGTCATAGCTACATAACTGAAGCTTCCAGTATTTGTGCCCCTTTGTTGGCACCCTCTTTACAAACCTTAATCGATGGTGTGCTCCCATTACAGAACTAAACTAAATTACCTGTGATGTAATCATGTGAATAAAATGGAAACGCCAGCCATGCTCCCAGGCAATGGGTGTCTTCAGACTGAAGTAAAATAGTTTACTAAACTTGTTGTACTGACTGTTATGCCCATGGCAGATGTACAATACCAATAACAGCAAACAAGCGTTTATCTTTGTCACCAAGCCATCCAAGTATAGACTATACGCTTAAATACGAATCGAAACCTGATAAATGGCTTTTGAAGATCATATTCAGACGAGGCACGGACTAAACAACAGGCCTTCCACTTTGTCTAAATTTCCTGGTGGCAATGTAATGCCTCTCGTAGCAAGCTAACATTTTCGAAAGGATACTCTCCATATTCGACATGCTGGTAGGGTCCTTGATGGTCCGAGGATGAATATCTTCTTATTGTTGTTTTTCTTCTCGATTTAGACGTAATGCAAAAGCTTTACTTCCGGCTACACTACCCAAATAGAATACGTCACCATCACATGTACAAGGGTGCGTTCGGTGCGTTCCAATTGACGTCACTGACAACCTAAAAAAAATCGAGTTTATTTTTGTCAGTGAATGAGTGAATGGACGTGTAAAGTTCTGGCATTGAATACTAAGGTGGATTGTTACATTTTCTACAATATTGCGATCTATTACGTGTACAGCCTACACAGGAATATTCCTCCCTCTATCCCTTATCACTGGTGGTATGTCAGTGCAGAGACAATCCAATCAGGTTAGGGGCTGGGGGCTCTCCTCAGACGGGGGGGGGGGGGAGCTTGCGGTGGCGTAACTTTGGAGTGGGCGGTGAGCGAGCTTGATTGATGTTTAGGTTTGCGTCTATGATGTAGAGGATGACTCACCCTCTGTCTGATATGATATTCACCCTCTTTGCAGCAGCTCAGCCAGTGCATACCTCCCAAGCTCCTCCTGCTCTATAAAGGTCTGCTCAATCAGCCCATAAATTATAATGATGCTGCTTTCAAAACAACTGGGACCTCGGAAATCTCAGACTTCAGTGCGTTCAAGACAACTGGGAACTCGGGGGAAAAACGAACTCCGACTGGGAAAAATAGTTTTGAACGGTCATCCAACTCGGAATTCCAAGTCGGGAACTCGGGCAACTTTCTAGAGCTCCGACTTTACGACCTGAAGATCACTAAAGTCATGATTTGACCGCACTAAAACATTCACCAATCCTGGAGGAATGCATTTTCCGAATAACAGACACAAACTCTCTTATAACACTATCTTAGACTCCTACAATAATTTTTTGAATTGTCATCTGAGTGAAGTTGTAGACTACTTGCACATCGTTTCAGCCCTTCACATTAGATAGATAGATAGATAGATAGATAGATAGATAGACTACATGACCAAAAGTATGTGGACACCTGCACGAACATCACATTCCAAAATCATGGGCATTAATATGGAGTTGGTACCCTCTTTGCTGCTATAACAGCACAGCCTCCACTCTTCTGGGAAGGCTTTCACTAGATGTTGGAACATTGCTGTGGGGACTTGCTTCCATTCAGCCACAAGATCATTAGTGAGGTCGGACACTGATGTTGGGCGATTAGTAGTGGCTCGCAGTCGGTGTTCCAATTCATCCCAAAGGTGTTCAATGGGGTTGAGGTCAGGGCTCTGTGCAGGTCAGTCAAGTTCTTCCACACCGATCTCGACAAACCATTTCTGTATGGACCTCCCTTTGTGCACAGGGGCATTGTCATGCTGAAACAGGAAATGGCCTTCCCCAAACTGTTGCCACAAAGTTGGAAGCACAGAATTGTCTAGAATGTCATTGTATGCTGTGGCGTTAAGATTTCCCTTCACTGGAACTAAGGGGCCTAGACCGAACCATGAAAAACAGCCCCAGACCATTATTCCTCCTCCACCAAACTTTACAGTTGCCACTATGCATTGGGGCAGGTAGTGTTCTCCTGGCATCCGCCAAACCCAGATTTGTCCGTCGGACTGCCAGATGGTGACTCGTGATTCATCACTCCAGAGAACGCGTTTCCACTGCTCCAGAGTCCAATGGCGGCGAGCTTTACACCACTCCAGCCAACACTTGGCATTGCAAATGGTGATCTTAGGCTTGTGTGCGGCTGCTCGGCCATGGAAAACAATTTCATGAAACTCCCAATGAACAGTTATTGTGCTGACATTGCTTCCAGAGGCAGTTTGGAACTCGGTAGTGAGTGTTGCAACCGAGGACAGACCATTTTTACATGCTACGCACTTCAGCCCCCTTTGTTGCTCCTAGACATATCCACTTCACAATAATGTAACTTACAGTTGACCGGGGCAGCTCTAGCAGGGCAGAAATTTGACCTATGACGGTGCCACGTTGGAAGTCACTGAGCTCTTCAGTAAGGCCATTCTACTGCCAGTGTTTGTCTATGGAGATTGCATGGCTGTGTGCTCGATTTGATATACCTGTGACAACAGGTGTGGCTGAAATAGCCAAATCCACTAATTTGAAGCTGTGTCTACATACTTTTGTATAAATTGTGTAGATAGATAGATAGATAGATAGATAGATAGATAGATAGATAGATAGATAGATAGATAGATAGATAGATAGATAGATAGATAGATAGATAGATAGATAGATAGATAGATAGATAGATAGATAATATCATAATGAACAGACAGAACATCGTGAGTTACCGTAAAATCGTGACGCCAGATTGCCATGGAAACAAGATTACGCTCGCAGAACTTCAGTTTGTTTCTTTAAGCACAACTGTCGTGTTGGGTTGGACAGCGATCACGCACGAACCTACATCTTCGCAAGATAATAGCGCACTGTGCGCTGTGTCTACGGGTCGGAGATCCCAATTAAACCTGTTGGATATCACTTATTGTTGTTTTGCTTACTATACTTTGGCTAAGTTCTACCCTTTCCTCAGCAGTCAGGTGAGTAGGCTAAAGTATATTATTTAATTGTATGATCATTGTCATGTTACATTTGGTACATGAATCATTTCGAAATACATAAGGTTTGTGTTTTATTAATGTTGAATGTCAATATCAATCAAATGCACATTTGATAGGCTAATGAAATGCATTGTCAATGGATGGATTAAACAATAGCAAACAATGTTGGCCAGTGTGTAAATTATACCTTACAATATTGCATCAGGTGAATACGTGGGAGAATAGGTGTAGGCTAAACTCACCATGTTTTATTTTTTATTTTAAATAGGCTATTTTATTAGTTTCTGTTCAATAAAATATTTAGCTGTTGTTAGTCATTTTTATGTAGCCTACGTGGTCTGTGAGTGTTTACTAGACTAATAACGGGTTTGTAAATATTATTTTGGTAAATTGCATAGACTGTACACATGCAGCATCATGTCGATGAGTATAGGCTAATAATGACTGTAAAATAAAATAAAAACTCAAGAGAACTGATTGATAGCCTAGCCTACACAATATTTTACTAGATCGAATCTGATTATCAAGAACAACACTCCCCGCTTTAGCCTTTATACAATATTTGTATAGGAAAAGTCTCAAATATACAACAATGACAAATTGTGAATATGTGAGAAGTGGCGATGATGGTTTTTACACGCATGCAGAAAATCCAGGAGAAGACGCAGCGAGGGGTGCTTTATTCAGTGACTGTATGACTCATACGGTCTTATCTAAAGAGTGGGAGCAGGCGGGCGGGCGAGAAGGGGTTTGCACATGAGACCAAAATTCTGCAGCATGCGACTATTATTCTAGTACATGATGGATTCCATAAGAACTGTCCGTGTAAACTTTTGGAGCATGTGGGAAAGTAGCCTATACATACCCCAGGTGTTGACCTCCAACCACTGTTCAAGTTAAATCTGTAAAAGTAAGCTAACCTGATTTGTGGGATATCGTCTTAAAATGTTTACATAGCCTTATTGATTTGTATTAGTATTATTCAATGAGTTCATTGATCAATTACCAAGTTGAAAATAAAAAAATTCTACAGTTGAAAATAAAACCATTATAACCTCAGATCACAGGATCAAGTGCAAACAAGGTCAAGGTTTGCTCAGTCATGTTACTTATCCTCTGAGAGAAAGTTCCAAGCTGGTCACCTTCCTGTTGAATTTTTTATTTTATATCTTCCACCCCCCTGTGTGCTTGTGGTGTGTGTATGTGTGTGTGTGTGTGGGTACCACTCTTATGCTTAGTAGTACCAACACATCTGTTTTAGTTTTTAATTGTGCAATATGTGCCTTTGGTGTCTCTTGTGTTTCAGACATCCCCTGAACTCAATGTGAATTAATGATAGTATGAATTACTTAGTAGTATTTCTTCACTTGTCATAAAATGCATTAGAATGTTCCCCATTGAACACACATTTTGTGGCATGAAATTACCCAGCTTCTTCCAAATACAATATTGTGTCCTTTTGCAGGTAAACCCAAGATAATGGAGCTCCAAATGGATAGAAGATTCCACAACTTGACTCTGGAGCAAGTCCAGACTTTGGACCAGGTGTTGACAGAGGTGATCACAATCCACGGCAGAGGGAACTTCCCCACCCTGGAGGTGAGACCCAAGGACATCATCCATGTAGTGAAGGACCGGCTGGTGGAGAGGGAAATCAGGGTCAGGGACATTCGCCTCAACGGCTCCACCGCCAGCCATGTGATGGTCAGGGACAACGGCACGGGCTACAGAGACCTGGACATCATCTTTGGAGTGGAGCTGCCCAGACAGGAGGACTTCCAGGTCATCAAGGAGGTGGTGCTGGGCAGCCTGCGTGACCTCCTTCCCCGTGGGGTTAACAGACGCAAGATCACCTGCCTCACCATGAAGGAGGCCTACGTGCAGAAGATGGTCAAGGTCTTCAATGAGCACGACCGCTGGAGCCTTATCTCACTGTCCAATAACAGGGGTAAAACTGTGGGGCTCAGGTTTGTAAGTTCCCTGCGACGCCAGTTTGAGTTCAGTGTGGACTCCTTCCAGATTATATTGGACCGTATGCTGGAGTCATACTGGGAGACTGAGAGGAGGCAAGGAGGTCAGTGTGAGGGATTGGAGTCACACAATGGCATTGTGTTACATCCGGATAGAGGGGCAGAGAAAACCAAAATGGAACCCCAGTATTCTTCCACCTCTGAGAATCTAAAAGAGGATAAAGACAAAGACTCAATGATGACACACTTCGCTGACAGTCCGTGCCACAGTGAACAGGTTGTTGTTCAAGAGGAAGAATCATTGCATCCGATGGATGTGCATGTAACTGGAAAACAAGAGCCACTGGAAGTGTTAGAGATAGAGAGAGCAGAGCTAGACCTGGGATCTCTGGAGAATGAGGAAGAGGTAGAAGAGGAGGAGGTGGTAAAGGTTGATACAGTACTTGAGATAAGAGTAGAGGAAAAAATGCCATTTGTTCAGAATACAGATTATCCCTCAATTATATCCTCCTCCAAAACATTGACAGATGTGATGGAACCTCTGGTGTCAAATGTATCTGTAAACCTTCAA